ACCAGGAAACTATTGATTGCAATCTGTTCAACGATTATTTTGCTAAGAATCCACGGTTTAATGATTCCATGTTTCGCCGATGATTTTGAATGTCTCGAAATTTATTCATTCGTATTGTTGATCACGTGAAAGGTCATGATAACTACTTTGTACAACGAAAGATGGACTCGGTAGGCTCGGATTGTCTGCTTTTCAAAAAATAACAGCTATATTTCGGATGTTGGCGTACGGTCTACCAGCGGATGCTACTGATGAGTATATTAAAATAGGCGAGTCTACAACCATTGAAAGTTTGAAGAGATTTTGTCGTGCTGTTGTTGAGGTATTTGCAGAACGATATATAAGATCACCTAATGTGTAATAGCCGCTTTCTACTCATATACTCATAAGATACACAATGAAAACACATGGAAAATAACATATACTCATACATACATAAATCTCTACTCAAAAGAGTTCTTAAATCTCCACTTGGGTTGGATTTACTTACCTGGTGAAAAAGTGACTTCTCTAGTACTTTTCCTTTCCCTTGTTGTCTTGTCTTCTCTCTACAATAACTCAAAACAACAACAAGAACAATAACAACCATATAAGACTTCAATATAACTATAAGCAAACTCACATCCAAAGCAAGAATCCTTACCTTAGGATGCTTTAGATGAACTCTCTACTCAAAATTACTCAAAAGCTCTCTTAAACCCCTTAGAAATCTTGGGAAAATTGAAAGGAAACTTGAGAGAATTTAGAGAATGGTTATGGCGGTGGAAATGAATGAAATGGAGCTTAACATAATTTTTCACATGTTTAAATTTGAAAACCTCTGTGAGTTGTGATTCATAATTTCTCCCATAATTGAAAATCCATACTCAATAAATAAATCTCTTCAGTACCTCTTCCAAACTCAAATCTTGATGCCATGGCAACCCTAATTTCTAAGAAACCACCCTTCAGAGATCTCCTCAACTCAGCTTCTTCTCATGAAAAAGAACACCTGAACCAAACCAACCCAAATCAGTTTTGATCTTTTGTTTAATCAAAAGGCTAATGCTAAAGATGATTCAATTAGTGGATCTGAAGTCGAACTAAAACTCTTTAGCGTTGGTTCTTCATTTCAAGCCAACGAGTTGTTATCAACCATACGTAACAAAAAGACACCAAAACAAAGAGGCTTCCGTGCAACTTTTGCAACAAAAACTTTTCCACATCACAGGCCTTGGGGGGACATCAAAATGCACATAAACAAGAGCGTGCAATAGCGAAACGACGTAAGGAGATGGAATGGGTGCTTTAGGGCATCATCACATTCTCTTATTATCCTTTTTCAACTTTAAACCATCAAGTTCCTCTTTATGGATCTATAATAGATCATCTCTGGGGTTAGTGTGCAGTCTCCGAGGATTCGAAGGCCAGCGGCGGCGGTTTTCCATGGGTCCCACTCCGGGATCGATTTGGCAATGGACAAGTCTTGATGAATCAAGGCTAGATTACGAAAATCGCAGGCAGCAGGGTTTGATGCAGGCTCAAAAGGGTTCAAGCATTGCGGCGAATAAACCTCCACTAGTGGTGACTCTCTGAAGGGAGAGAGCCATACAAAGTGATCATAAGGACGATCATTCATCAAAACTTGATTTATCTCTCAAGCTTTAGATAATTTTTTTTTTTGTTAAAAGTATATATTTGATTGTTATTCTTAGGACTTGCTTCTTTGATTTACAACTTTGGTGGTTCAAGCATTATGGAAAGGAAAAAAAAGCCTCTCTCATAAAAGGTAACTAGCAAGGGAAAATTTCCGTTATTACTAAATAATGATAGTCAGGATTCATCATTGATGAGGACTGTTTGTCTCTTAAGCTTTAGATAATCGGTTATATTTTAGATTATTACAAGTATTTTAATTTAATTTTAACTTTATCTTCTGTTTATGTTTATAATTAATTTAACCATCATTTCTGGCATTTTGTGCATGTGATTTTAATTGGTCCTTAATGCAGAAAAAAAAGAACAAATGTCACAACCGCACTAATTATACTAATTTTGATTAGACTTCAATATTTCGTTTCAATTAATTTTAGAACTAGTTATACCAATTTTGACTAGACTCGAATATTTCATTAATACTTCTTCTTTATGAGGTTTGGGTATCGATCCTTCTTTAAAACTAGAAGTATACTATAAATAACAGCCATGCCAATAAACATCCAGCAGCCAGGAAATTACAACAAAGTAAAGAGCAAATTCTGGACTAAAAGTTAAGCAGCAAAAGTAATAAACATTAAGAAATTTCTTTTATAACATTTTTATTATTATTTTCATAACATTCTAGCAGCATTAATGCTAATTTGTCATCAATTAATCTTTCTATCTAGGTATACAATTAAGATCAACTTCAATTATATTTAATATGAAAATCTGTTCAATACATATTATATTCAATTTCAGTAGTATAATAATGAAATATCAAAAAAATTAAAAATTAAATAAAAGCGTAACTAAAGAACTTAAAATTTAATATAAAGGCAGTTTATAGATTGAAACTTAAAATATAAAATGAAATTTAAAATCATTTTGACCAGAATAGAGGGAAGGATATTTCAAAATATAAAATTATGTATTGGTAATTGTTTATCAAATTAAAAAAAAATAATAATTTGGGTGTTATACAATAAAAAAATTTCAAAACGCTATCTCCGCCAGTGCATGCAATGCAAAAATACTTGTACATTATCTTTCATTTCAAATATTCTAAAAGATAACATCAAATAGTCATAAATAAAAGGTAAAAATAATTACAGTGCTTTAATTAAGAAGATACGTAATAGTCCAATGATTTGTTTATCTGTCAAAAGGAACAATTGTATAAACCCCCCAGTTTTATCGATTTATGATGCTACCATACAATTGAAAAATAGGAGGATATGCCCTATTTGTTAATATTTTCTAACAAATTTTTGTCAAGTATTAAAATTAATTTTTACCCTTTGGCTAAAATATAATGGTTACCCACGTGGTGCAAAATATATAAAATCCGCTTTCCACACTCAAGGCCGCACAACATTTTGTATGAGTAAAAATCAATTAGCCCCATATAGTTTTGGAAATGTTTGGAACTATTACCATTTTAATCAATTCTCCCCAATCATTTAAGAAATTAATCAGTTCCCCTAAAATCCTAAGACCATCTCCAACCCATTGCACAAATTGGTGCAACTTTCACACCAAATTGGTGTGATTTTGGTGTAAAACACTATTACATCCCAATCATATGCATCAAATATTACACTAAAAGGAATATTCTTTAGAATATTCTCTTTCTTTTCTTTTATTGTAATAACCAACAATATTTATTTCACTCATAATATATATATATATATATATATATATATATATATAATAATATATATTAGAGGTGGGCAGGATCGATCCCAAGCAGGCCCAGGCCTAGGCCCGTTTGGGAATAGTACCAAATGGGACCAGTCACTCATGGGCCTAGGACCGGTCCAGGCCCATGAGAAAAATTAGAAACGGATAGGCCTTAGGCCTGGTAGGGACTGGTCCTATGGGCCTAAGACGGTCCTATGGGCCTAGGACCGGTCCTATGGCCTAGGACGGTCCTAGGACAATCTCATACAGGCCTGGATAATTAAATTTCCCCCCCCAATTTTTTTTTTTTTATATTTTGGGGGCAAAATGAATTTTTATGGCGGGTTTTTAGTATTTTTTAGTGGTTAAAATTATAAATTTTTTAGACCTAGAAGATTTTTTTTTTTATAAATTTTGTAAAATGTCATTTTAGCCCTCTTAATTTATTTATTTCAAATTAACTGGGGGTTTTATGTAATTTGGCAGGGGACTATATTGAAAAAATACAAATTTTTTTGGCCCTAGGTCTGGTCCTCTTGAGGACCGGTCCTAGGACGGGTTTTTGAGCTGAGCTTTTGGACCCGGTCCCCATGCCCAGCTCTAATATATATATTGGGAATGATATTTGAGTTGCCCCAATTGAAAATAGCAGCGAGCTGTCGATTTTCTTCTTGAATAGTTTTCAATACGTGAAACTTCTTTATCATTTTCCTTTTAATTTTGGTTCTTCACCCCAATGGGTCGTTCAGCTAAAGTACCCACAATATTTCATCATTTTGTTTAGAGAATATGACGACATGTCACAAGCACCGATTGGGGAGACTTTGAAATGGGAGTCTCTGATTTATACAAACCTATCGGTTTGCCTTTGAAATACTTCTGCGATGTTAACATATCTATAAATTTTTCAATATCCTTAAGTAGGCCACATATGATCAAATCTGAAACATTTCTGTAACTTTATCTGTGCTAGTAACATTTTGGCTTGAATTATCTACAAAACATATACATATAACATTCAAATCAATTAGATAAAAAAAATTAATTAAATGTACAAATACTCACAATATCTTGTCAGAAGCACCACTTGGATTCATATTTCAATTTGATGTATGCATCCCCTCAATTTCCAATAACTTTAAAGATCAGTTGCATTCGACAATGCAAAGATCTTTTGTTTCGAACTTGAGTGAGAAACACGGGTTTGAACTGTTGTAGTCAAGCTCAACTCGAGACCAGAATTGATCGCTAGATTGGTTTATACCTAAAATCGGGTTTTGAGAAACATTAAGATAATATGACATAGATGCATGTCATCTTCATTGTGTACGAAGAACTTCGTTGTGTAGTCATTTTGTAACACAAATGAAGAAATGTGTTTTTTTTTTTTTTTTTTTTTGCTAAGAGGAAAAATAAGAGATGTGTTCAAAACTAATGTGTTGTTGCTCTTTTATAACATAAGTTTGAATTGAAAGCCTTGAACGAACAAACATCTTTTTGAGCTTGAATGAGACTGAACAAACATCTTTGATATAGCTTATAAATCTAAAAAACTTAACTGGACAATACATTTTTTTAATAAGCCACAAATCTCAAAAGCTTTGAATGGACATGCAATACACTTTTGACCGATAGATAAACTAAAACTCATTACGAAAGGAACACGCATGTTGAAGGTTTGTATAATTAAACCGATTACACTTGATTGAGACTTAATATTTATTCCTACTTTGTGACCGACTTCTTGAATTGAGCATCGCAGTGACTATGCCAGCAATACCACCATTGCCAGGTTTACTCCTTTAGGAGGTATGAATTCTATATCTATGAAATAATATTCTCATTGCACATAGATGTTACTCTTTCAACTAGCTGCAACATTAATCATTATATTACAATTAATATTACCCTCCATTCTTATCAAAAAGAATAACTTACATACATTAGTTACACTACTCACTAAGGATTAAGGTAGCACGTCCTTAATTGATTTGTGAAACTTATATTTACTACCAGTATCTACAGTAAATATATAATAATTGACACTACTCATGTTCAATGCATAGGTGTATGTTAGGATCAAACATTTACCATCGGACTAAAAGCTTAAGCTATTAGCTATGATGCAATTTTATTTCCATATATTTCATCAATGGGAACGCAAAGCCCCACAAATAAAGGTGAGTGAATATGATGTAAGACTTGATATGACCACATGTCACAATTATGTAGTTTAATGTGGTTTAACGGAGTTATTAATTGTCTCTTTTGATATTTGATAGGAGATTAAAGGCAGTTGATGGAAGTTAATTGGTCTTTAGCCTAACCATATATAAAGATATCATCTTTTCCATTAAAGAGATATCACAAAAAAATACAAAAAAAGGTTCTAGAGGCATAGGCTATAAGACATCTTTTAAACACTCATTCACAAATCATTCATGTTTTAGCTTTCTATAACACTTGAACAATAAGGCTGGAGGTAAGTAATTAAATTCCGCATTATATTACATACGTAATATTCCACATATGAGGGATTTCATAATGCGTATGTAAGCACATCAATGGGTTAGGCGATTAAGCAGGCCCCCATAGTGCGAGTCATAAGGGAAATTATTGGCCGGCCCCCATAAAACGAACAATATGTTTGCGCAAATTTAGCACCTTCATGATATTGAGGCTCTCACTCTCAACTGAAACCAACAACACAACTGAAGACCTGTCTCCCATAAATGAAAAACTTTATATAAATAATTGTTTATTCAAAACCTTGGATATTTGATTCAGTAAAGTAATTAAAAAACTTTAATTAATACAGTATTGTAATATGAATACTAGCAATTTTATTCATTTATTACAGAAATGAGTAGTGTGATGTGGTGGGCAAAGGAGTGTCTTCGTTGTTTGATATGAATTTTATTGATTCATTCATGATAGTGCTTGTGGTAGTTCTGGTGTTGGTGAGTATGATGGTTGTGATGGTGGGAGAGGATGCTAGACTCTGGGGTGGAAGGATTCATTAAAAACAACAAGGATAATTAAGGTATTAATTATTAACTTTGACTCATGAACAATACCTAGTTTCTGTCTTTAAGGATGTGTCAATAATATACGTATCACTGTTATCACACACCATTGTGAAATTCTGTAAATTTCCAACAATAGTATTTCTACTTATAATGAAAATTTGTTTAACTTTATCCTTTTTCAGTCAAATTTTGGTAACTGGCAGTGAAACAAAGGAAAATTTAAATATTTTTCTTAACCTTTTGATTTAGCATATCATATTTATTATCATTAATAAAGATAACCGTTGCAGATTTAAGACCCTCGATTAACTCATTAAATAGGAGTTTGAGATACAATGTATTGTGCATGTGTAGAAATCAAGTCTCTTTCTAGATTTCGATTATGGATTTGGTAATAATTCTAGAATGTTGACTATTCATTTGGTAATAATTCTAGAATGTTGACTATTCATTTGGTAATAACCATATTAAATCATGATATATTCGGAATAATTGAGATGAACAGCATTTTATTACTCAACACTTGTATAATTTACCATTAATTTTAAATTATATAATCACGCAACATGATTTCCTTCCATAATTGAAAATAGAATAGTCAATGTACAACATGGATCTCTTTCACATACCTTTTCGAATTCATATTTATATCGAAAGTTAACAATCGAATCTAAATTTTCCCATTAAAGGCAATATTATTTTTCTGGTTGGTTGCATAAACTATCAAACTCAACAATTTGAAAAAGGTTTAATAAAAAAATCCCCCTGCGGTATAATTAAGTAACAAAAATCTCCTTGTAATCAGAGAAATAATAGAAATCTCCCTACCCTTAAATTTTTTGGTGTTAAAATAAAGGATAAAGGGTTAATTAAGTATATATTCACTAACCCATGACGTCATAAATTTTTAACGCTAACTAACAATAAGAAGATTTTTATTATTTGTAAAATCTCAAAATGGCCAGACTTGTAATTTGAATAGACCTGATGGGGGTCGAGATCAATGTCTTTATTATTTTGCTTTCCAATTGAGATAATATGCAATCTTCTAATCATTAATACTCAAGTACAATCCCTGTGATGATGTCTTAACATTAATTTTTCACATGTTTAAATTTGAAAACCTCTTGTGAGTTGTGATTTCATAATTTCCTTCCATAATTGAAAATCCAATACTCAATAAATAAATCTCTTTCATGTACCTCTTCCAAACTCAAATCTTGATGCCATGGCAACCCTAATTTCTAAGAAACCATCCCCTTCAGAGATCTCCATCAACTCAGCTTCTTCTCATGAAAAAGAATCACCTGAACCAAACCAACCCAAATCAGATTTTGATCTTTTGTTTAATCAAAAGGCTAATGCTAACGATGATTCAATTAGTGGATGTGAAGTCGAACTAAAACTCTTTAGCGTTGGTTCTTCATTTCAAGCCAACGAGTTGTTATCAACCATACGTAACAAAAAGCAACCAAAACAAAGAGGCTTCTCGTGCAACTTTTGCAACAAAAACTTTTCCACATCACAGGCCTTGGGGGGACATCAAAATGCACACAAACAAGAGCGTGCAATAGCGAAACGACGTAAGGAGATGGGCATGGGTGCTTTAGGGCATCATCATCATTTCTCTTATTATCCTTTTTCAACTTTAAACCATCAAGTTCCTCTCTATGGATCCTATAATAGATCATCTCTTGGGGTTAGTGTGCAGTCTCCGATGATTCGAAGGCCAGCGGCGGCGGTATTTCCATGGGTCCCACTCCGGGATCGATTTGGCAATCGACAAGTCTTGATGAATTCAGGGCTAGATTATGAAAATCGCAGGCAGCAGGGTTTGATGCAGGCTCAAAAGGGTTCAAGCATTGCGGCGGATAAACCTCCCACTAGTGGTGACTCTCTGAAGGGAGAGAGTCCATTACAAAGTGATCATAAGGACGATCATTCATCAAAACTTGATTTATCTCTCAAGCTTTAGATAATTTTTTTTTTTTTTGTTAAAAGTATATATTTTGATTGTTATTCTTAGGACTTGCTTTCTTTGATTTACAACTTTGGTGGGTTCAAGCATTATGCAAAGAAAAAAAGCCTCTCTCATAAATGGTGACTATGCAAGGGAAACTATTTCCATTATTACTAAATAATGATAGTCAGGATTCATCATTGATCATCATGATGAGGACTTGATTTGTCTCTTAAGCTTTAGATAATCGTTGTTATATTTAGATTATTACAAGTATTTTAATTTTAATTTTAACTTTATCTTCTGTTTATGTTTTATAATTAATTTAACCATCATTTCCTGGCATTTGGTGCATGTGATTTTAATTGGTCCTTAATGCAGAAAAAAAAAAAAAACAAAATGTCACAACCGCACTAATTATACTAATTTGATTAGACTTCAATATTTCGTTTCAATTAATTTTAGAACTAGTTATACCATTTGACTAGACTCGAATTTCATTTTAATAACTTCTTTCTATGAGGTTTGGGTATCGATCCTTCTTTAAAACTAGAAGTATACTATAAATATCAGCCATGCCAAAAAACATCCAGCAGCCAGGAAATTACAACAAAGTAAAGAGCAAATTCTGGACTAAAAGTTAAGCAGCAAAAGTAATAAACATTAAGATCTTTTATAACATTTTATTTAATATATTTCATAATTCTAGCAGCATTATATGCTAATTTGTCATCAATTAAATCTTTCTATATTGGTATACAATTAAGATCAACTTCATTATTTAATATGAAAATTGTTCAATACATATTTATTTCAAATTTCAGTAGTATAATAATGAAATATCAAAAAATTAAAAATTAAATAAAAGCGTAACTAAAGAACTTAAAATTTAATAAAGGCAGTTTATAGATTGAAACTTAAATAATAAAATGAAATTTAAAAATTCATTTTGACAAAGAAATAGAGGGAAGGATATTTCAAAATATATAAATTATGATTGGTAATGTTTTATCAAATTAAAAAAAATAATAATAATTTGGGTGTTATACAATAAAAAAATTTCAAAACGCTATCTCCGCCAGTGCATGCAATGCAAAAAATACTTGTACATTATCTTTCATTTCATAATATTCTAAAAGATAACATCAAATAGTATAATAAAAGGTAAAAATAATTACAGTGCTTTTAATTAAGAAGATACGTAATAGTCCATGATTTGTTATCTGTCAAAAGGAAAATTGTATAAACCCCCAGTTATCGATTTATGATGCTACCATACATATGAAAAATAGGAGGATATGCCCTATTCTGTTAATATTTCTAACAAATTTTTGTCAAGTATTAAAATTAATTTTTTACCCTTTGGCTAAAATATAATGGTTACCCAGTGGTGCAAATATATAAAATTCCGTTTCCACACTCAAGGCCGCAACAACATTTTTGTATGAGTAAAAAACAATTAGCCCCATATAGTTTTGGGAAATGTTTGGGTAACTATTACCATTTAATCAATTCTCCCCAATCATTTAAGAAAATAATCAGGTACCCCTAAAATCCTAAGACCATCTCCAACCCATTGCACCAAATTGGTGCAACTTTCACACCAAATTGGTGTGATTTTTGGTGTAAAACACTATTACATCTCCAATCCATTGCATCAAATATTACACTAAAAGGAATATTCTTAGAATATCTCTTTCTTTTCTTTTATTTGAATAACCAACAATTAATTTTTTCACTCATTATATATATATATATATATAAATAATATATATATTAAATATATATTAGAGGTGGGCAGGGATCGATCCCAAGCAGGCCCAGGCCTAGGCCCGTTTGGGACTAGTACCAAATGGGACCAGTCACTCATGGGCCTAGGACCGGTCCCAGGCCCATGAGAAAAATTGAACCGGACTAGGCCTTAGGCTGGTAGGGACTGGTCCTAGGGCTAAGACCGTCCTATGGGCCTAGGACCGGTCCTATGGGCCTAGGACCGGTCCTAGGACCAATCTCATACGGCTTGGATAATAAATTTCCCCCCTCAATTTTTTTTTTTTTTTATTTTGGGGGCAAAATGATTTTTATGGCGGGTTTTTAGTATTTTTAGTGGTAAAATTTATAAATTTTTTAGACCTAGAAGATTTTTTTTTTTTTATAAATTTTGTAAAATGTCATTTTAGCCCTCTTAATTTATATTATTTCAAATTAACTGGGGGTTTATGTAATTTGGCAGGGGACTATATTGAAAAAATACAAATTTTTTTTGGCTCCTAGGTCTGGTCTCTTGAGGACGGTCCTAGGACGGGTTTTCGAGCTGAGCTTTTGGACCCGGTCCACACTGCCAGCTCTAATATATATATATTGGGAATGATATTGAGTTGCCCCAATTGAAAATAGCAGCGAGCTGTCGATTTCTTCTTGAATAGTTTCAATACTGTTTGAAACTTCTTTATCATTTTTCCTTTAATTTGGTTTCTTCACCCCAATGGGTCGTTCAGCTAAAGTACCCACAATATTTCTCATATGTTTAGAGAATATGACGACATGTCACAAGACACGATTGGGGAGACTTTGAAATGGGAGTCTCTGATTATACAAAACTATCGGTTTGCCTTTGAAATACTTCTGCGATGTTAACATATCTATAAATTTTTCAATATCCTTAAGTATAGGCCACATATGATCAAATCTGAAACATTTCTGTAACTTTTATCTTGTGCTAGTAACATTTTGGCTTGAATTATCTACAAAACAAACATATAACATTCACAACAATTAGATAAAAAAAATTAATTAAATGTAACAAATACTACAATATCTTGCTCAGAAGCACCACTTGGATTCATATTTTCAATTTGATGTATGCATCCCCTCAATTTCCCAATAACTTTAAAGATCAGTTGCATTCGACAATGCAAAGATCTTTTGTTCGAACTTGAGTGAGAAACACGGGTTTGAACTGTTGTAGTCAAGCTCAATCGAGACCAGAATTGATCGCTAGATTGGTTTATACCTAAAATCGGGTTTTGAGAAACATTAAGATAAATAGACATAGAGCATGTCATTTCATTTGTGTACGAAGAACTTCGTGTTGTAGTCATTTGTACACAAATGAAGAAATGTGTTTTTTTTTTTTTTTTTTTTTTGTTCTAAGAGGAAATATAAGAGATGTGTT